CCTAATTACCTAAATTAGTTTATAATAAAAATATTAAAAACTTAAAATCATAATTATAAACATAGAAATATTTATTAACAAATAAAAATAATTTTTAAAAAATAAAACTTAACTTTAAAAACTTAAAATCTTTAATATGTTATTATTGATAAATTTCTTATTAACTACTATCTCTATCTTAATCTACAAACATTTCCCGAAAAGGTTAACTAAAGCCTCCTAAAACTTCGCACTTATAATCTCTAATGAGTATTTGTAGGACTTGAAAAAACCCTAATTGTAAAAAATGCGGATCCACTCTAATGAAAATAGTTTTGATTTCTTTGATTTGGTTTTAAAATCCTAATTTCTTTCAATTAAATTTTTTTTCATAAAAAAATAAAAATTAAATAAAAATCAAATAAAATCTTATATAATAATATCAAGGTAAAAATTTTATATTAATATTTATAAAATTTCAACTTATCAATTGATAAAGTAGAGATAGGAGTGTTTGACATCCAACTGAAGCATCTGTGCAAGTAAAAGTGTAAGTTATTAAATTTATGCTTCCACGCTCTCGAAAAATTCTTGTACTTCTGCTAGTTCCTCAAGCCACATCATTAAGAAACAAGCAACAGAATATATAATTAAGAAAATAGCCAGGTATAAGCAAACAGTAGCCTACAACAAAGCTGATTGCAAAAACAGGTTGAAAAACATTTCCCTTGAATTTTGTTATTGGTTAAACTATTGCTTGCGGATAAAGAAAATGGAGGCTAGAGGAAAAGTTAAGGCAATATCACTAGAATATACCTTTACATCGATGTTATGAAACTGAGTGTCAACATCAAAGACATGAAACCTGTGATAAATTGTAATCTAAGATTAAAAAATCGTAAAGAAATAACAATCATTTTGCCGGCCAGAAATTCAGGATTGGAAGAAGTGAACTTACAGCTAGGGACATCAACGGAGCCCCGCGGGGTCGGGAGTCCCTCCCCGTCCCCGTCCTCGCGAATGGCGGGGATGGGGATTCTCGTGGGGATTTTTAACGGGGGGTAAATTTTACCCCCCATCCCCATTCTTCGCGGGGAATGGGGATACCCGCGGAGATCCCCATTCCCAACCAATTAATATAAAAAAATAAGTTTTTTACATATAATTAATTAATATTCAATTATAATAAATAAAATTTTAAAAATTCAAATATAATTAATTAAAATTCTTTAAATATAAATTATCCAAACAT